CCTGTGAGGGTGGTGAGACACTGTCCCAGGTTGCCCAGGGAGGCTGTGGCTGCCCCAACCCTGGCAGTGTTCACAGCCCGGTTGGCTAAAGCCTTGAGCAACCTGCTCTGGTGGGAGGTGTCCCTGCCCAGGGCAGGGGGTTGGGGCTGGGTGATCCATTCCAACCCCTTAGCAATCTATGACACCTTCTGCTGTGCCCCTGGGGTCCTCAGCACAGCCACCAGGCCTGGGCTGTCTCCTGGCACTCATCCTGCTCCCCAGCCTGCCCTGCTCCTCTCTTTTCCATCCCCCAAATTGCAGTTTGGCTGTTTGGTGGTTCATGGAGTACTAAAATGTGGGAAATGGGCAGAATAAGTGCCCAGAAATGCAGCTCTGTCCTGGGACAGGGACAGGAGCCAGGGAATGGCTGGAGCTGTGTCAGGGGAGGGGTAGGTTGGGGATCAGGCAGGGGCCAGAGGTGTTTGGGCACTGAACAGCTCCCCAGGGCAGTGGTCACAGCCCCAAGGCTGACAGAGCTCCAGGAGTGTTTGGCCAGTGCTCTCAGCACAGGGTGGGTTGTTGGGGTGTCTGTGCAGGGCAGGAGTTGGACTGATGATCCTTTTTTGTCCCTTCCAACTGTGAACATTCTGTGCTCCTGTGAATAATAAATATGAAAATAATGAAAGTGAAAATGAATTCATTAATATTAATAAATCTCCAGTGAATTTGAGGGGAATCTTCAGTCTCTGTGCCAGCAAGATGAACATTCCCCCAAATCACATCAGGTGTTGTGTTCTGCAGGTGGAGCAGCTCAAGGAGGAGATCTGTGAGTACCAGCGGAGCGAGAGGCCTAGCCCTGCCCCTGCTGTGCCAGCCCAGGCCGAGGAGGCCTCAGGGCCCTCACTGCAGGTGTGTTCAAGGGCTTCTTCTTTGCCTTTCTAGACAAAGAGTCACCCTCCTGCACTGCAGCCCCAGCTGTGTGCAGGCACCTTCAGCCTGTGGGGCTCCTGTGGCTGTGGGTTGGCTCCTGCAGGTACATGGAGGTGACCCAACTCATATGCTCTGGTTGTGTTGTGTTCAGGAGAGGTCAGGGAGCTTTGGAATCACTGTGCTGACACATGGGGCACGTGGTGTGATTCTTGGGGTGTCCTGGGCAGGGCAAAGAGTTGGACTTGATGATCCTTGTGGGTCCCTTCCAGCTCTGAATAGTCTGTGATTCTATGGAGCTGCTGGAGTGAGTCCAGAGGAAGACATGGAGATGCTCTGAGGGATGGAGTTCCTCTGCCATGGAGCCAGGCTGGGAC